GCCCAGAGTGTCTGCCTACACACAGAGTGAGAGAGAGAGAGAGAGAGAGAGAGAGAGAGAGAGAGAGAGAGAGAAGGAGGATAGATAGATAGATAGATAGATAGATAGATAGATAGATAGATAGATAAGGAGAGAGGCAGAGATAAAGGTAGAGTGAATGGAGAATGAGAGGAAAGAGAGATAGAAGGAATAGAAAGAGAATAGAAGAGTGAGGGAAAGAGGAGAAGAGAGTGAAAGAAATGATAGAGGGTGGGGAAAAGAGGGAACAGAGTGGAAAAAGAAAGAGTGAGTAAGTAAGAGAGAGGAAGGAGGAAAAGAGAGAGAACAGAGAAAAATGAGAGTTAGTAAGACAGTGTTCTACACACTTAAAAATGGTTCTTCAAGGGTTCTTTAGTAAAAGAAATTGGTTCTATATAAAACCATGAACACTCAAAGAACCCTTTGCATGATTAAATGGTTCTCTGCATGGTGAAATGGTTCTTCAGATTGATGAAGAACGTGTTGTATCTGGTTCTATATAGCAACAAAAAGGGCTCTGCCATTGTTATAATGTCAAGATTGTATACAATAGGAGAGCCCTTTTAGTGCCACATAGAACCATTACTGCACATTCTCCATCAATCTGAAGAACCATTTTACCACTCAAAGAACCATTTAATCATGCAAAGGGTTCTTTGAGTGTTCATGGTTCTATATAGAACCATTTTCTTTACAAAAGAACCCTCAAAGGACCAAGTTTTTTAAGAGTGCTCTGTAGTGGTCAGCAGTGAGGGTCAGTGTGTTAAAGGGATCAGCCCGGTGTGTGTGTATGCGTGTGTGTGGAGTGTTTCTGTATCCTGACTGAACCGTAGTGATCTGAGGGTCTGATTTCGGTACCAAAGCAGTACCGGAGCGGTACTAAGGCAGTTCCGGAGCGGTACTAGAGCGCTCCTGCTGCAGTGTGTTGTTACTCCGGCGCTGAACTGAGCCGAGCTGCTGAATGAAGCTGCTGAATGTCTAATAGTGGAGCTGTCGAGCTATTTTTACTCCCGTTACTATCATAATACGCAGCACCGACACCCTTAAAAATCCCACCTCGCGCTCTCCCGGCAGTCTGACTCGCTTCCAAAAGTGCCGCGGCATCTCCGGCTGGGAGCCGTCATCTGTCTCCGAGCAAAAAAACATTAAATATTAACACATAATTGAATGAGAGCTTTTAAGATTAAGTAATTGGACGCGATGGCTATCGTAGGATAGTCTTTTAGTGCTTTAAGAGAGGCTCTGCTTTAAATGGACATAAATATCCTCCTGAAATATTAATGAAATTTAGCTTATGTCATTTTTAATGGGTTATATTTATATATCAGGCAAGACAAGGATGAAGTGTTATTAGATAAGTGCTACTTGCATTTGCTCTTGTGTGGACCTGCGGTGGGGAACCCTCAGAGCGTTCTAGGTCTTCGGAGAAAGCCTAATGATTTCTTGGAAAAAAATACAAGCTTATCATTTTTATGTAATAACTACACTCATAAAAAAGATTGTTCTTCAAGGGTTCTTTAGTGAAGACAGTGTTTGTATATAGAACCATGGACACTCACATAACCCTTTGCATGGTGAAAGCGTTCTTCAGATTGATGGAGAATGTGCTGTAAGTGGTTCTATATAGAACCTTTTTGAAAAGGCCACCAAAAAGGGTTCCTCTATAGTTACAGTGCTAAGCTTGTAACAATAGCAGAACCATTTTTGGTGTCATTTAGAACAATATGCAACACATTCTCCATCAATCTAAAGAACCATTTCACCATGCAAAGAAACTTTTCATTATGCAAAGGGTTATCTGAGTGTTTATGGTTCTATATAGCACCATTCCTTTACTAAAAAACTCTTGAAGAACCCTCTTTTTTAAGTCTGTGGATACAACTGAGCGAGCCCATTGCTTAGGACTTCAGGAGCTGGACTGAAGGCCTTATGCGTCAAATTAATCACCAACATGAGGTTCTAGATATGCCACTGACTGCAAATGTAAGCCACAGCCTAAGCAGGTTTCGGGTGGTTGTTAGGAATGTAAAACAGTGGCGGCAGCTCTATGTCAGAACTCTTTACTGAAATATATGCTATTTTCTGTTCCGAGTAGCAGATAAAACATAGGAAAACATCTGGTTTAAGCCTTAAAAAGTAATGTTTGGTCTGAGGGCATTTTCTTGATTTTTTGCATATCTTCTTAAATTCACCTTTAAACCCTTATAATCTCAGGTTTATTACATACTAAGACCTATTATTCAGTAACTACAGGGACTTCAATACAAACTGGCTGAGCTGTTCTTAGGTTATAGAAGTGGTCAATACAGCTTTGGTGGGTGCTGCACTGTGATAAATGAGACGTTTCAACTGAAAATGACAAAGTAACTGATCACATCACTTTTCTTGAGTTGACTCAACTTGAGGACACCGGAGTTCACCCCACTCAAACTTCTCAAATTCAAAAATTAGCTACTGTCTATAGGTCTGCATCTCAGTTAGATTAACAAGACTGAATTTGTGTTTTTGTTCTTACTCAGTTTCTCCACTAGCTGGCGCTCCTTCTATCACACAGTCCCATCTGGCATATTTTCCTCTTGGGCTTCTGGATTTAGACAGCTGTGGTATTGCTGGGGTTCAAACTCACAACCTCCTGATGTTGGGATGAACTATTAGACAGTTTGCTTCATATGAGCTGACACCATGCTTTAAAGTTAAAACAACAAATATACCCCAACCCAGTGTATTAAACATCTGCAGACACAGAATCTGAGCTGCTTTATGTGTTCCTGAGTGGTGCAGTTGACTAAACCGTCACCCCAACAGGAGGTTGTGAGTTTGAGCCCCAGCGATGCCACAGCCATCCATAAGTACATCCCTAAGAGGAAAAATGTCCAGCAGCATTGTGTGATGGAAAGAGTTCTGGCTGGTGGGGAAGATGAGTATAAAAAACAGGTTTATTTTGTTTACCTCACTCTCTCTATAATGAGGTCCTTTTGACCTGGAGCACCATGTAAAGAGATAACTCGACTCTAAAGCTGAGGTCTGGTTTTAGAAATTCTTAATATCTCTTGTGAGAACAGCTTTACTCATGTGGATGTATTGTTTTGGTGCTTGAATGGGTTTACAAAAGTAGTGGAATGTATTATTGAAATAGTAGATGAATAAAATCTTCATCACTACTTTCCAAAACTGCTGCAGCAGCTTCAGCAGCTGTAAACTCTCTGCACGCCGTTTCACACGAGTCTCCAATGTGGACTGACTGAAGAATGAAGGGTTTCCGGCGTGATGGTCAGTCCTTAGTGATTTCCTGAGTGTCCATTGGTCAGTTTCACAGAGAATGTAGACGGACACACCAATCCACCAGTTCCACACGGTGAGAGGCAGATGACGTGTATCACAGCCCCTCTTCATAGGCTCATAACTCCGGATGTGAGTCTCGTATGATCTCGTGATAAGATGGAATGGAAAGGGCGACTCTACAGATTCAGGAAGTGTTTGAACTGGATTTCTGAGCTGGATCATCACAAAGATATTAACAGAAACATTGAAAAACATTGAATTTGACATGCTGGTGTGTTTGTTGACCCCAGAAGGTTGATCTAAAATGGCCAAAAGTTAATGCCCACCAGCATTTGCTTAGTGCTAACATAGCATTAGAAATCCCATAGGGTGCAAGAAACTAGAATTGTTGTCATAATAATAATCATCCATTTTTGACATTTATGGCCCGAACTGAAGGCTGAGCTCTAACAGTCATGGTTCTCCACAGTAGAACACAAATTTATACACACAATCTTGCATTCAGGGCACAAAGTCTTTCATAGCAGGAAGCAAATGCAAATGAGTATCAGTGAGTCTTATCTAAAATAAATAGGACAATTTCATGCAGTTTAGCGACCTCATCCGCAGCTACTTTTCATTTGCGCTGAAAATGGGTTTGATGAAGCGTAACATTGGTGTGCAAACACCTTTATTACCTTCCACAGTCCTGAAGAGATTTTTAATCTTTTTTTTTTCCTCAATGGCTGATACACAGAGATACGCAGGCTTTCATAAAGCAGCCTTGTTAAAGCAGGGGATTCATGCTCTCACACTGGATTATTATTATTCAAATAGCTTTGTGGCTCCGCCGCCGAGCGCATGCTCCGAGCACAGCCGTGTAGATGGAGAGATATGTGAATGAAAGCCGCGCTCTTTGTGTTTTTCTGTTTTTATGCTGTTTCAGGATGAGAAAACGTCCCAACTTTATGGAAAAATCAGAGAAAAACAGGCTGAATGTACCTTATCAGGACCAGAGAGATGGTCTAAATTTATAAAGGGCTTTCCGACAAAAGATTCATGTGTCATTCTTATTTTTTTTAACTGAAAAAAAAATCATACATATAAATAATACATATGGGACATATTACTATTATTATTATCATTATCATTATTAGTAGTAGTAGTAGTAGTATTGTTGTTGCCATGACATATAGGTACTTATATATGTACATACAATGCATACAAGGCATTTGATTGTTATTGCATATAGATTTTTAGATATGTAAAATAAATATAGGGCATATTAGAAGGAGTGTCATACCATCTACATATTTACATTTATAATATACATGGGATATACTATTGTTACATATACATACTTACATATATGTAACATGTAGGACATTATTATTGCATATTGGTATTTATATATAATACATATGGAACATGCTATTATTACATATAGGTATGTACATATATAATGCATATGGGCTGTATATATATAACACATATTGCATGTATTATTACCTATAACTACTTATATATGTAAAAAATATGGGACATATATATATATATATATATATATATATATATATGGGATACATTATTATTACATAATTAGATTTTTACATTACTATACAAATACATACTTACATATATGTAAGTATGTGTATATATGTATGACCTTCACATCCTGAGAGGGTATATAAACAGCCATATGTGTGTCTGTGCTCCTGCAGAGGCTGAAGGAGCTGAAGCAGAGGGAGTTCGCCCGGAATGTGGCCTCTAAGTCTCGGAAGGATGAGCGGAAGCAGGAGAGAGCGCTGCGCCGGCTGCATGAGCTGGCAGAGCAGCGCAGAGAGGTTCAGTGGTAGGACACATTCTGTCACCACACTCTTATACAGACCACCTGCAGCTGTTAGAGAACAGCTTAACTGTGTAATAATGTGCTGTAAAGAACTGTGATTCACCTGAATTAACGTGTCTAGAGTCTAAAGAACTGCACTGATTTTCAAAAATATCAGCATGATTTGCTGGCTGGGAAAACATCATGCATACAGAAACTTACCATCATGGATTCTACAGTGTTATTGACCGGAGGTCAAAGGTCACAGTGACCGCAACACAAACATAGCCATACTGTTTGTTATCCAAACAACTGGTAAAAGAGTAATGCTTCATAATAGCAGGCACTAATAAATACCAGCATAATTGTTATCTAATAGTTTTTTAATGACTTAATTAAACAGTGATGAACCTTTTAGCTGGTGACATACAAATAATCACTCATTATTCTGAGTAATAGAAACCTAATCATTCATTTTAGTTTGGTAATATAATGCAGTTTTTTTGATACTGATAACTTTTAATTCATAAAACCTAAAATATTTAGCATATATCAATCAATATATCAATGTTTAGGCCTGTTTAATACAGTAGTTACTTATTGTCTAGCTACTCTGTGATGCATAAGCTCATTGTTAAGTTGTTATTATATATGGTGATAAACATTAATTGGGCTCCTATTATAAAGTTATGACTTTGTAATGTATTTATAAAGATAACCTGATTATTTATTACACCTAAATATAAAACATTTCTGAAATGCATTAAGAGTTTTAATTATTTATACGACAATTAGCAATTGATCATTTGTACCACTCATCAATGCACAATTGTTAACAATTATGTAATAAATATATGATAATTAACAAACTATCCGACAACGATTAAGGTTCTATTATAAATACCTGTTATTTTAACCATAAATGTTGCATAAGCCAAACCTTATTATAATGGTAAAGTAATGTTAAACAGTCTCTAAGGAGTCAGGCAATATATTCCTAATTATTTTGTGTAATAACTTTCTGTAAAGTTGGTTTTAGAGGCTTAAAGCACTTGTCATTGTCTCAAATTCTGACTTGGTACATTAGTTTCTCTAGAGTGATGCGTTTGTCATCAAAACAATCTAAATGATTTTGTTATCAACAAGCAAATTAGATTGGAAAATAGTTGTTAATTCCCATTTAGCTCATATTAAGAATAATAATGAAGTGGATTGACAGTGTTTATTCACTATATAATGAAAATGAAAATAACTTTCATCTTTAGAGTGGCTCATTCACTCACTTTTCTAAATCAGAACACAACAACAATCCTTTAGTAGCCAAGCTCCCCACTGTGCACTTCAAATTGCTGAAATTCAGCAGTGATGTGATGTATTATTTATATGTTTCAAATGTTCACTGTTTTTTTTTTTTCTTTTGCTCTGCCCCTCTTTTATGCTGCAGTGCCCCAGGGAGCGGCCCTATGTTCAAATCCACCACGGTGGCAGTGGAAGGCAGTTTCAGAGATCCACAAGAAGAGAACCAGAGTGCTGGAGGCCAGGAACCTGGAGCCCAGAACCAGCTGAGCAGCTGCAAACAGACCACGTGGTCGTATGGCGGAAAAAACACCAAGAAGCAAGCGCTCAGGCGCAAAATAGCCTTCTCCTTTTCCTTTCCGAAGAAAGCTTCAGTGAAGCTGGAATCTTCGGCTGCAGTTTTCTGCGAGGGTCTGGAGGAGGGTACGGTGGAACGAAGCAGCCGGATCCAGGTGCCATTTGTGGAGCTTGACCTACCAGACTCACCGGCTGAGGAGAAACAGGTGAATTGCAAGGACACGCTTTGTTGCACTGCAGAAAGCAGCAATGTGGGCGATCAGGGGTCCCCGGATATACCTGCTGGAGTGGATGGCCTCCAGCATGCTGCTTCAGATTTGTGTGCATTCCTCGTTTACTCTGAGGACACGTCCATGTCTCCTATTACCCACTTACCTGCCAACTCTGAAAGCGTTCTGGACTCTGAGAGCCCTGTGGAGAGCACTGTGGCTGAGCATAAAGCAGAAAGTGGTCAGGAGACGGGCAGCGAAAGCAAAGAGAAAGACTTGTGCGCAAGTGACCCTCCAGTTAAGGCTTGCTCTGATGTGCCACCTGAGAATGATTCGTTTCAAAGCCAAGGAAAAGAGGAGGATGCGGCTACTGCAAAAACTCTCAGCTCTTTTGCAAAGCCTAGCCAGCCTTTTTTCTCTGTCCTCGGCAGGGACGGTAAAACCATCTTCCAGTGGCCCTCTGAGATGGTTTCCTTCACCATGACGGAGCCTTCCCTGTCGTTCAGTTGCAACCCGCTCCATTTTGACTTCAGAGGGTCACAGATCAGAAGGTGCCCTGACGCTCAGGAGGCAACCGAACCCAAAATTGATGAGGAGTCATCTTCTGTCAGCACGACCACCAGTTCACAGAAATCCTCCAGCTTAGAAAGGCACATGGAGGAGGCCTCATGTGGCTACGGAACAGAGAGCAAGGTCAGAAAGTGCCATCAGTATTCCGGCGATACAGAAAGCGGAGCGAGGCCGAAAGTGCACGGCAGATGCAGGCATTCCAAAGATTGGCCTCATGCTGGCAAGAGAGCGGAGGACAAATTGCGGGCTAGAGATCGGCGCCATTACAGGAGCCAGCACAAAAAGAGACACAAGCGGCGCCACAAGAGAAGAAGGAGAAGGAGGGAGGAGGAGCAGAGTGAGAGTGATGTGGAGAAATGTGCAAAATCCCACAGACGAGCGGAGAGCCGTGAAGAGCTTGATAGCCAATTTAGAGGCGCCACTTCACAGCAAGCGCAGCCATTAGAGAAGTCAAAGCAATCAGCTCAAAATCAGGCAGAGAACAACAGCATCACTCCCACAAAGGAGGGGGAGCAGGCAGGCAGGATAAACGGCTCTGCGGGAGGCTCTGATGAACCTTGGGCCTGCAGCGAAAAGGTGCTGGGAATCTGTGGAGGGACGGCAGGGGAGGCAGACATAACAGGACACGGCTCGAGCTGTCTCAACACGCCTCCCTCTGAGAAAGAATCCTCAGATCACAGCAGCCCGAGGCTGGAGGATCCGCACTCTCCGGAGAGAGATGTAGAGGATCCGTGTGAAGGAAAGATGGTGAAGAAACGACACAGTGACTCATGCGGTGAGGATGAGCCCTGGTCAGATCTGACACAATGCATTTACTGTGGATCCTCGGCACAAGACAACAATGGGCACAAAGGCTCGGATTTATCTTGCCCAAAACATGCGAGAAAAAGGCAAAAATTGTCTCAGCCCTCACACCTTGATAGCGGATATCCTGTTGCCAATAGTGTCGTTTTGAATGCAGAGGGTAGGGCCTCTGTGGTGGAGTCAGTGGTGAATGATTTAAAAGCAATGTGTGACAGCTCCAATGGGCCAGACCAAATCTCATGCAGTATTGATGACTTAGAGAGTGGTGCGGTTGATTGTCAGATACTGACTTCCATTAGCGGCACCCCGGGTCAAACAGCCGCGGATAACAGCTGCTGCCAGCCGAACTCAAACCCTTCCCCCACTCAGATCAATGCTCAGAGCGGAAAGGGCACTCATCCCCTACCTGCGGGAGACTCTGAGCCTGCAGAGATCCTGACAGCCACAAAGCAGCTCGCTAAGATCCTGTCTAGAGCGGAGCAGGGCTCTGCGAAGGATTGTAAAAAGTGTGCCGTAGCGGCTCAGGTTTGTCTGCTGGATGTGAGAGAGATCGTCCCGCGGAAAGCAGAGAAAACCAGTCACGATAAATCGTGTCAGCACAGCCCACAGCTGCTACAGCCGCAGAGATTTCACCTACCGGAGAATGAGCGGCTAAGCCTGGAGGGTCTGCTGGATGTGAGAGAAATCGGCCTGCGAAAGGCAGAGAAAGAGAAAGTCAGTCACGATAAATCATGTCAGCATAGCCCACAGCTGCACATGCAGAGATTTCACCTTCTGGAGGAAGAGGGTTTGTGCCCCGGCAGAAGCCAATTCCATGCCTCGCCGTGTTTCCAGGCCCACACAGAAAGCCTGGAAAGGCATTGCCTCCTGCAGGCCCATGCCCACAGACAGGTTTTGCACCAGCAGGTGTTTCCCACCAAGCTGAAACCGGTCTTGCCCAGAGCTTCTCTCCAAGTGTCTAGTCCTATCTTGCACCCAGTCCACATGCCCTCAACGATGCCGTCCGGATCCATCACTATCCGCCACACCATCCTTCAGCACCATGCCACATTCCTTCCCCCACAGCCTCCCATCTTCCCTCAGGTTGTGCCAGTCACCCGCCTCCCCCTGGCACCCGAAATCTGCCCACCTGCCGGCACGCCTGCCTTCGTCACACCTTCCCAGGTGTCCGTGGTGGCTCCACCCACTATCCACCCAACAGCTGTGACGTTTCACGCCCTCCCTCGTCCGACTGCAGTCTTTCCGCCCATCCTCCATCGGCCAGCGGCGTTCACACCCGTTTTGCCCCCCCACCCCGCTGTCATTCCACTTCAGCCTCTCTTCTAGATGCAAAAGACAGTTGTCTTATGAACAGGAATTAGAAACAGGGAACAAGGATCACAAACATAGAATGTTGTCCAAAAAACAGGAATTATATTCTACTTTCAGAGTGAACATTATTTTGAAATGCCCTATTAAAAAAACATCCCTGGTTCCATAGCAACATTGTCAACCTGTTAAAATAGCTAATTACTATAGATTTCACTTCTTTGCAAATATAATTTGTTTTCATTTTATGATTTAATTTCCTATAACTTTCTACTCCCTGCGTATAAAGCAAAGACCGGTCCAACATTACAGTGCTTGGGGACCGAACTTGGAGACGAACTGGGGGTGGGAGTGGGGGCTTCAGAGGGGTTGGGGTGGGCTCTATGCTCTATGCTCTATGTTGTTACCAAATGTGTTTGATAGATAGGAGGTCACAGCCATTAGGGGTTCTTTTGTCAAATAATTTAGCAATCCTCCTTTTAATCTGTGAGGTAAAAAAGCAACTAATCCAACAGGATTTAATTTTAATCTTAAGACATGAATTTGAGATGAGCATCATCAGAAACGATTTGACTGTGTTAGGAGCATTTAGTGAGAGTAACGTTGGCATTTGAACCTTTTCATTTGAATATATTGTTTACATTGATTGCAGCACATTATAGAGATTTCCTGCCAGAACAGGCATTTTGTTTCAGAAGTAGAGTTTCTTTATGGTGTCCACCCACAGGTCGTGCCTCTTCTCTATGTAGTTTGCTCATCATGCGGCAAAGCTCGAAATAAGCTCAGTGATCATGGCAACAACCAGGTAGCCTCGGTTGCAGGTGTGTGTGTGGAATTGAACTGTATTGCACCACAGTGGCCCTTCAAGTATTTTGTTCAATGCAATATAAAGGCTCATAAAAATGAAATGCTGAATGCAGAGACGCATGTAGACATGCCTTGAAAAATGTTTTTTTCCCCATCTCGTGCCATCGTTTGCTAGCGCAGTCCCCCGTGCAGCAGATGTTCAGCGAGGCAGATCCTGTTTGGACTCTAGTGTGTGCTTAATGCAGCCTGATGCATATTTAACTAACACTGACCTCAGCTGCAGCTCATTGAGCTTTATACGAAAGCAAGCACAAAAACGGCCAAGCGTGAAAAAACACAAGTGACCGTTTCCTCCTGTTTCTCATTTATTTTTTACATAAGCTGCTGAGATTTTGAGGACTTTCTGTAGGAAATGTAGGAATGTGCTGTCGAACATCAGATTCTAGACCTTTTTAGGACCATTACACACCAAACAGGATGCATATAAACAACACAAAGTTCAGACATGATTTTGTCACATTAAAATTACACATACCAGATGCATTTTTTTTTTTTTATTTTACCATGAATTTTTTAATTTCACTCAAACAAATGGTCAGGATGTGTCCACCTGTCCTCAAAAGACACCCTTTGCTCCTCCTGAAACAGAAGCTGAAAATATATCTCTGTAACTGTGCCACTTTTTCGCTGTCCAAAAGTCTGCGTTTGGTGTGCGAGATACAGTCGTATGCAGACGTTTTGCTGCACCTGCTCAAATTCCACATTTTGTTGATTTTCTGAGAGAGAATAAGCCTCAGTTCACACAGCTGGTAAAAGTGTCCCAAATCTGATCTTTTTCTTCATATGTGACACAGATCTGCGTCTGTGTGTCAGTGTGAACAGCAAAAAACACACATTCCGATTTGGGACATTTTCATATGTGGTACTGAAATCCGATACGTATCTGATCTGCGGAAGTGCGACTCAGAAGGAACAGCCAGATTGGAATTCATGACTTTTACATCAATCCAACTCCACATTTGTCATAATTTTGTGCTGCTAAGACCTCATAAACATTCGGGCTGTACCCAAAAAATTGTAGAGACTTATCCAAAACCCCCCATGTTCGAAGAGATTTCGAAAGAAATGGCCAAATGCAGCTGTAGGAGAGTGAGGCTGGAGCGTCAAAGAACAGTTAAAAGAATCCGAGGACGCAAACCAAAGAAGTGACCGCGCCCTTTTTATGGCTCCAACACATTCTGGGTGATGAGCCCAGCCGTCAGTCAGTGAAGCTTCATGATGGCTCCTGTGATGCTGGTGAAGATGAAGCTGATCCTCCGGGAGCGACTGGCACTCGTTGGCGGTCGTGGATGAGCCGCGTGAAGCAGCGTGACGCTCTGTCCTTTTGCGCATGAGGGTCAGTTTAGGAGCTGATCTGTTCAGACTGATGACCCATACAGATCACATTTATAAGATAATCTGAACAGACAAACAAAAAATCTGATTTGATGAGAAAATCAGATTTAGGCCACTTTTACCTGCTGTGTGAACGTAGCCTAAGTGAACGCATCCTCTACAGAGAACACACTTCCGCACATTTTAACACACAATTACTGTTTATTTGCTACATTTAATATATTGGAGGGAGAAAAAGATAAATTGGGGCTTGTGCAAAAGTTTTGGCACTGACTTTTTGCTGCACTCCAGTCAACTCCTTCAGCACCACCTGATTTAATTTCATTAAGGATTGATTAGATAAGCCAGGTATTGGATGGCAACTGTGAGGAGAGCTTTGGAAATGTTGGAAAATCGTTGGAAAAATCTCACAGTCAGCAAATAAATAGAAATTATGATATTAAAAATAAAACTGGCAGAATGTTATTTTCACTTAGAAAGTCAACATAACTTGACTGGGGTTGTTCAGACCTTTGCCTACAACTGTATCATCACTTATACCTGTTGGACTTAATTTACTGATGTCCTTTAATGTGGCTCAGTGTGTAAAGGCCTTTAGACCTGCCAAGTAAAAATAGCCACAACAGTATTAATATTAACAAACATTAATGCCAGCTTTAATTTCCACATGCTGTAATGTTGCACACAGTATCTGATGACATTATTGGAAACCCATCCACAGCGCCTCCTCCCTGTTGCCATGGTGTTTTGTATCATGTTCTTGATCAGTATCTGTCAGTGTCGAGGCGTAGTCAGAATCCTATAGGACAGACGTAAACTCCTAGCCCAGTTTCATCAATGCGTCAGTATTTAATCTGAATGTAGAGGCTGATATTAGCCACTCAGGCTTCTGAGCGAACCCGCCAACGCAGCGCGACAAAACGTTACAAGCGAATAAGCCCACAGCTCTGTATCTTCCCTGTTATATCAAGGGTTTACGTGGTGTGGAGAGCCGTGATAATAACCACTGGGATGTTAGAGATAAGAGCACATGTTTTTTTCTTTGCATATTGCATTAATGGATCATATTTCTCCTTCTTGCATCAGATCTAAGATATTTCTGATTCCTTCACTTGTTCCAGCTGCTGAAATAGTGAGAAGAGTTACTTGGGTTTAGTAATCAGTTTAGTGACAGCTCTACTAATGATGTTAGTTAGTTCTATACATATATACCTATACATATAAACATATAAACATTTATATATAGAGACAGACTGAAGAGCAGGATAATAAGGGCATTTCTGCGGTGGGCCGACGGTGAAAAAGTGCTGAAGTGCTGGAGCCGACATAATTCATTCCTCTCCAGTCGATGCCTTTCCTCCTGAGGAAGATAATGGCCCTATTATACTCAAATCTGGAAATTACTTTAAGAGCCAAATTGATTCAGGAACTAATAAAATCTCGCTCAGATTTACTCAAAGACATTAAACGACGAGGTTCTGTTTGGTAGCTTCAGTAAAGGTAGTGTTAAATAAAAAAATAAAAAAGAAGATCTGTCAGTTAATTTCCCATTTAAGGGAAAAAAATAGATTTTAGCGTGTCTGGTCTTTGTGTCCGGCTCCTGATGGCTCTGGAAATCCTCCTTTAGTCGAGTGTGACAGTGTAATCGTGACGTTAGAGACCCAGCAGGCTCCTCTCTCATCCTACACCTCGTGTTCGATCCCAACTGTACTGAAAAACCTGTACATGCACAATGTATTTTTTCAGCAGTTGCTTTATGAATATGTACATGTTGTAAAAAAAAGGAATAATGTTTATAATTCATGTAATATTTAATGTAAATGTAAATATGTTCCTGTTTTTAATCGTGCAAGGTACCTAGTATGTATGAAAATATTTAGATAAGACAAAGCAACTATGTTTTTTACGCCACTTTGCCAAATGAATGATGTTGAAGTAATATCTAATAAAATAGAGAAATGACTGACGAGTGTTTCTTTATTATTATGATAACTTTTAATGCTTATTTTGTAGCTCAAAAGTTTGGAATCACTTAATATTCATTCTGGATGTTCGTTTTATTAGAACTTTATTCTGGATATTATAGAACTTTATTTTAGATATTATTTTTATTACAACTTTGTTCTAGATATTAATTACATTAGAACTTCATTCCAGATATTAATTTTATTAGAACTTCATTCTGGATGTTAATTTTACTTGAACTTCACTCTGGATATTAATTTTATTAGAACTTTATTCTGGATGTTAATTTTATTAGAACTTCATTCTGGACATTAATTTTATTAGAACTTCATTCCAGATATTCATTTTATTAGAACTTCATTCTGGATATTAATTTTATTAGAACTTCATTCCAGATATTAATTTTATTAGAACTTCATTCTGGATGTCAATTTTATTAGAACTTCATTCTGGATGTCAATTTTATTAGAACTTCATTCTTGATGTTCTACAGCTTTTACAGTTCTGAATCTCCAGCTCAGTTTATCATGGAAACCTTTTAACATTTCCTTGTTTTTCTTTAAAGCTAACTCTAAGTTAGTTTAAACCTGTGAAGTCGAGAGTCGTGGCATCACAATAGAATCATTTCGTACATTCAACTGCAACAGAATTGTTTTTATTGATGCAAAATCAGTGATTCCAGACTTTGGAATGTGTGGTGTAACATGGCTGTAAAGGGTGTGAGGAGATGTATAATGACAGAGTGAAAATGCTCAGCGCGAGTTTCTGTTGCAGAAGAGAAAACGCTGCTGAATGTTTCATCTCTGGGTTCCTTCCGGAGAGTGACGTGCTCGTTCTCTCGGCACTATCGGCCTCGACATGATGAAACGACACATACTCACTCAGATTTACCAAACCAGCTGAATGCCACTATCGCCTTTCAATTTCCACGCTTCATGGAGCAGCTCTGTACCTTTAAAGCGATAGTTCGGCCAAATATCAAGTGTACACATTCCTCCCCTTATCTCAGGTGTCGTCCATCAGCC